GCCACCATGATGTTCTGCCTCACCATAGGCCTAAAACCAATGGAGCCAGCCAATCATGTACTAAATCTCAAAACCGTATGCCAAAATAAATTTTTACTTCTTTTAACTTGAACCAATTTTTAAACTAGTTTTCAACCAGCTTGCTGATTTCCGAGTATTTAATTATGAGAAATAATATCCTGACAAAAGAATGTGCAACGTTAACTCTACGTATTATAACTTATAATGCATTTCTAATTGTGTTTTCTCTATCTAAGTACTTGGGCACCCAGCTAGTCTACATATAGCACTAATGGATAGTATCATAGTATATTATAGGACTTTCATTATCTGGATCCCTCCAAATGCTTTTCTTATAACCTGAGGATAAAATGAACAATAGCTGGGGGTACTAACACTAGGTGGCCTCCCAGCCACAACTGAACTATCAAATAAGACTCTGCAGCAAGGTAGCTTGAGGTCTCAGTGGTATTTTTTAAATGTGGAAGAAATTTGGTAATGCCATCAAATTTAGGAAGTATATCTTATGACCCAGTATCCTAGGTATTTGCCTGGTTTTATTTATTATTTTTAAGAAACAATTACCATTTATTGAGCATAAAGTAGTGTTAATCTAGGATCATAGTCACCCCCACTTTGTAGGTGAGAAACTGAGGGTAATGAGGATTTGAGCAACATACTCTGGCATGTGACTGGTAGGAGGCAGCTGGGATTTAAAAATGGCCATCTGGCTTCAGAGTTTGTGCACTTAATCACACTTTATTCTGCTTCTTGGACACTACCAAGTAGGGCAATTGGAATTAATCCTTGCAATAGCCCAGTAAGCTTGATATCTTACCCACTTCCGTTTGATAAATTGAGATTCTAAAATGTTTAAAAAAGAAAAAACCTTGACCAAGTATAACTCTTTTTTGACTAAATGAAATCCAGAAAAAAATAGACCTATGATCATATTTCCTTCTGAAGTACCAGGGCATTTGTGGCAAACCAGGCCATATGATCAGGGGCACATCTATAGCTCAGAAAGAAGCAAAAAATTGATTTATTCTTGATTGGATCTTTCAGGGGCAAATTATGAATTCTTGCCAGTGCTGATATGAGTTTAGGTGAGAAAGATCAGAGGACTCATTGAGCAATAGTGTCCACTTTGGTCCTCACTCCATGCCACGCTGGTAAAGCTAGAAAGTAAATTGCCGACTCTCAGAGGGCCACATTCTTTTTATGAATGAATATGTGGTTCTCATTTCATCTGATGCTTTTCAGTTCATCTCCTCAGAAAATACAGAATCCAGACAGTTTTCTGCTGAGGCTCAATTTTAGGACAAGGCCAGTTGTACTCAGGTAGCCCAAGGGCAATCTGTGCCTCAGTTGTCACAGCTAACCTCAATAGCCAGAGCCCTAAAGATGGCTTTAGAGAACAGAGCTTCCCATCCCTCACAGTTCTGCACTTTGTTCATGTGTCCAGGTCTAGATGAAGGAGATTAATGTCAAATTAATCATATTAATCATCATTTTAATCTCAGTAAACCTTTCACATGAGGCATTTTGTTCCTGCTTATCTGAGGCCCCCAATAATGGTGATGCAGGCACTTTGCAAAGCTGTGCTAACTCCTCCAAGCCTTTGAGCTGCATTTGGACTGGGTCTGTGTGACAGGAAACTCATTTGGGAGAGAGAAGGTGCTCAGGATGCGCGTGTGGGCACACAGCGCTCCACCCTACTCCAATTTCCAGCATTGTACTCTTGCCTTGGGTTCTAATTTATTTGCCATCTGTACTCTACTACTTTGGTAGTGGGATATTTTTAAATATTAGTAATCATTCTAGAAGCTAATGCTTATTGAGTACTTACTGTGTGCCAAAATATAGATTGTAATGCATTATTTCATTCAATTTTCCCAACCACACATAGATATCATTATCATCCCTACTTTACAGGAAAGAAAACCAAGTCTCAGAGAGGTTGCCTGTCCAAGGTCAGATGATAAGTAAGTGACATGATAATATCCATATCAAAATAAAGTTTGCTTGCATCCAATGTTTTTTGACTATCAATGGAATAGCCTTATCATTACTACCTTGTTAAAAGCAAATGGTTTACAACAAATATTTTTATGTGTGGGTTGGCAGAAAGGAAAACATGAGAGGGAGAGATGGGGGAGGGAGAGGGTAACAGAAATGGTACTTTAAAAAGTCTAGTGAATTAAGAGCCTATAAAGTGATTTTTTTAAATCCCTTCTCCTCTATCGGATGAAGCTGAATGAGCTTCACATTCATGAGCCATTAGAGCTAGAGGTTTCTCAGGGATTATATAGTTCAAGCTTCTTATTTTACACATGAGGAAATCAAGGAACAGAGAAGTGACTCGTTCAAGGTTATCATAATCATAAACATTTGGATTATTTCCTCAGAGATGTTTTACTTCTCACTTCTTTACAACACATTTTGGGATATATACACAACAAATTCTAATACAAAATAAAATATCTTACTATAATTCATTTCTTCATATGTACAGCACCACGACTGACTGGTGTTCTCTGTATCGTCTGTCTTAGCAGATGGAAGTTCTAGAACACTAACAACACTTAGCACAAATGATGTCAGCATGGATTATTCTCCAGAATCATCACAACGTTCCTGTTTCAAAATCCCAAATGTTAATGTGCCATTCTAGGAGGACAACTGCTCCCTCTAGTTTAACACTGATGTCCTATGTTGGTGGTTTTTGTTTCTCAGAAGGAGCTGTCCTGTGGTAGACAGGGGCTAGATGTTCTTATGTTTGTACCATTGCTGGACAATGAGCTACCCCATGGGATTTTCACCAACAGAGACCAAGTCTTCTTGTCATTTGCATTATACAAGCCCTAGCACAAATTCTGTGTTCCTCAAATGTTTCTTGATTGAATGATACAGATGGATGAATATAAGAACCCAGAAATCTTTCTCATCATTGGAACAAAGTAATGAAACACACGTCATTAATTATGTTAGCTATGACACAACATATTATAATATGACATTATTCTATATTATCATTATTGGTCCAAGTACAGACCTGACCAAACTCTAGACAGTATTAAATCATTCAAATGCCTTTCCAGGGATAGTGGGTGCTACCCCAACCCTACACTACTGTTAATTTTAAGAGGAGGAGGAAGTAATGTGGGGCAGTGAAGAAGTACCCTAGAAATTCCTTTTAATGGTATTAAAAGGTGTTTTGATATATTTTTAAAGTTAAACCTGTGTCTTCCCCCAAAACATAAAAATTTCAATGAAGATATTCCTGTGAAAGATCAAGCCACAGTTGATATTTTGGAGATGGATTCATTCATTTTTTTTCTCATTCAACATTAATTGAATATTGTGCCATATGCTAGCCAAGTAAACATGCAAACACATAGTCTCCTGCCCTTAAGAACTTGCAGCCTTGGGAATAAAGGGTAAGAATGCACAAGGTAAACTCATTTACAATAAGGCAGGTTAAGGTAACTGGCTCTTGAGTCAGACCATTGGGGCTCAATCCCACCCCATGTTTCACTAACTACATGACATTAAATTATCATCAAATATAGAATTGAAGAAGAGTAATACTACCTTTTATGTTAAGTCTTGGGTGTATTAAGTTTTATATATGCATATACATATAGATAGATAGATAGATAGATAGATAGATAAACATATATTTGCATTCTAAACATTTTCAGTATGAGCAATATATTGCAATATAAACATTTGCTTAGCAGAATATGTGGTAAGTGTTCAAAATTATCTGTGATAACAGCGATTCTTATGCTCCTATTATGAATGCTTTAATAGAAATATGAGCAGAGGATAATCATCTGACTAAAATAGGGTTGAGGTGGAGTAAATGAAAACTATTTGCCTGAAGATATAAGGATAGGTATGAATTATTAGGCAGAGTGAATCCAGGAGGGTGGAGTTGGGATGGGGATGATAGGTCTCTCCTTTAGGTGTGTGGTGGAGCAAATCCAAAGGATTAGAGATATGTCAAAAATCACAACTGGTCAGGGCAAAGTTTATACTTCCAACCATTTGGACCACAGAACAGAAGGGCAGAGGGTAAACACAGAGTAGAGAATGTAGAAGGTGGATTATAAAGGGAATTAATTTACTTTGAAAGCTTTGAAGGTCATTGAAGAACTTTAATCAGGGCAGTGACATTACAGAATTTTGGAAGGATTATCCTGGCTACAGTGCAAACTAGAATGGCTCAGAAGAGACCAGAGGCAGGATGCTCAGAAGAGACCAGAGTCTTGCAGTAATGTAAGTAAGAAATGATGAGACGCTAAACTAAGGCTATAGTGATGGGATCAAAGAGAAGTAAAGAGACTTGAGAGATTTTTTCAAAGCAAGGGGTAGAACTTGGGAACAAAGGTCAATCAAGAATTTCTGGCTTGAGAGACTGGAAGAACAGGTATAGAGGAGAAGACGATAGTGCTTTCAGTCTGGGGCATGAAGAGTTTGGAGTTCTTTATAGGACTTTCAGAGAGAAATATCTAGTGTATTTGGATACAAAGATCAAGCACTCGGGACAAATAGAGAATATCAAAGTCATGGAAAGGATCCAAGAATCATTATTTTAGGTATTAAAAACACTTGACTTAAGGTCACCCACTGAATCCATTTTTTGTTACATTTCTGTTACAGAAAAAAAAAAAACCACTAAAGATAATATATAGGTCTTTCAGAAGATCACTTTCAGTTTTATTAAAATAAATGACCCACTTTAATAAGAATTATAATGACTTATAAGTCTCTTACAAGTCCAATGCTATGATTCTATTGTTCCAAAACACCACTGGAAATCTGGACTTGCCTTTTGATGACAGCATACCTGTGGCCTTAAAACTTTCTATGTGAGTGTGTGGAATATATTTTTTAAAATTAAAGCCCTTTACTTATAAAGCCATATAACCCCATACATGCAGTGAAAATGCCGTGGAAAAGAAAAACTAAGTAAAGACACTATCTACATTTACCTACTCTGATCCCAATTGGCAGCAAACAGCAGAAGAATCTTCCTCCCGTAGTGGTCGCGGTTTTCCAACACTCCAGGGAATCCATCAATCAGGGCCCTCTTAATGCCAGGATCATCTGCCTTGAAGTTTTTGAACATGTCCAGGTTTAGTTGGCGGTATTGGAAGTACTGGGCCAGGAGTCTAAAGGCATCGGCTTGGTGAAACTTCCTGGCTCGGAGAAATCTCAGGATGAAGGCGTCATCTGTACGTAAAAATCCAATGTCAGGCCTAGTGATGATCATGTCCCTGACTTGCTGAATATCCTGGTGTAAAACATCTGGGTTTTCATTCAGTTCCAAGCGTGCTTTCTCTATAGTCTCTGGACTGAGTCCAGCCTGCAAATGGGTCATCTTGTTCAAATCTCCTTTCCAAGTGCTTAATTTCTGATATTTTGGAAGAAGAGAGACTGGTCCCATTCACCTGATGATGTGCTGACACCGTGGCTCATTCAATAATCTTCTTACCACCAGACTGCCACTGAAACAGACAATTACAGGATCTTCTTTCTGCTACCAGAAAGTCGTCGGACATTCAGGCCCTATGATGTGGTGACCATCCCAAAGAGAAGGAAAACCGAAGCCATTGCTTACTGAAAAACAAATGCACACAAGAGAAACAAAATAGAGATGATACAAAGAAAGTATGGCAAATTAATCAGAACCTAGATAGAGAAGCAGTGTATGCTCTTGTGTGTCTGATTAGTAGGCCTCCAAAGAACAAATGGTAGATAATCCTTTACATGGGGGACTGGGCCTCAATATTGATAACTGGAATGCTTGATATTCAAATATTTGAAATATGTTTGAGAATTTTTTTAGTTACATTGACTAGTTAACATAATAGTGTATGGTCAGATTATCAATAATGGGCTCTTTTATTAATGACTCTGAGAAACAATAAAGGGAGAGAAAGATCCCTCTCTGTCACAGCATGCTTTATGAGGCTATTCATAGGCTAGATGTGGCAGACAAATTATGAGTGTTGTGCAATTTATTATTTTCCATTAGCCTCTTTTCTCAAACAGAAGCCTCTCTCACTGAAATATCCCCTCCCCTGCCTTTTAAAAGACAGCCATTGCATCTTAATAATAAAAAGGGACTATTAAAGGTCACCCTAACCTAAGCCTCACAGGTGCTTAATTACTCAAAGGAGTCTCCCAACAGTTGAGGAGGTGGGGCAGGCTTAGGGCTGGGAGCTTGACCTTCAATAATCAAATTAAATAAGCACTGAGAAAAAAGGTTCACTTATGGACATTTACCCAGGGCTTATTATTTGTATTTGCCACCCTTCTGGAACGAGGGCAAAGGGAATTAAAACTCTTGATTGGCTCTCCACCTAACTCAATAGCCACACAAGTTCAAAAATAATTGCATTTTACATGACTTTTCTATTTCCCTGAGATACCATTTTATGTACGATAATCATTGAACGTTTTCAATATTATTCGCATCTTTCTCATTTTAAGTATAAATGCTTAAACTTTCATAGACATCTGTTTGGTCTATACTACAAGTTCCAAAAATCAAAGACATACTAGGTATAAATAAACTGGGAGGCATGTATTTATTTCTAGATTTCCTAGGTCAACAATATCTATAGTAAGAGACAAAATATTTACTTCCAGCCTAATTATTATTGAAAATGCTTCATCATACAAAATAATTCAAAAGACAAAATGAGAGCCAGGGATATAGCTCAGTGATATAATCCATGCCCAGCACGTGGGAGGCCCTGGATTCAACCCCCAACATCACACACACACAAAAAAAAGACAAAATGAGTCTCCTGCTTAGTTCCAAACTAGACATTTCTGTTTTAGGATATGGAGGAGAGGAAGGACACTTCATGTAGCTGCTATTCATTTTCAAGATAATATAAAAATAGAAATGAATTTATCAAATATTTGCTTTGTGACATAGTAACATCTAGCTGTGTGGTATGTGAATCAAGAAAAACAGAGTCCTGATGCTCACTGATTTTAAGGACTGATAACGGAAAAGGAAAATAGTGCTGTGAACTATTCACAAGATTGGAGGAAACTTCAAGTTCAATGCAATCTGATGTGAAAATTCCTTCTCCAATAGTCTCAGCATATCCCTTCATAAAGCTGCCTCATTTGATGTCTTCCTCCTCCAATTCATCCCCACACCTACTGCTATCTATCTTTGACATGCTGCTGAAACTGCTCTCACCAACCAATGACAACAGTATGATTTATTATCCAAATATAAGCACTAAAGGGTGCTAATAATAATGATACTGGAACAACAAGCATAAACTGGGACACTTCAAAGCAAATCCTGACAGATGGTCACCCTACTTGTGAATGAAATTTTGTTGCTATATGCAATGGACAAATTCTGTCCCCAGTGAGGGTGACCTCTATCAGTATTTGACCTTGACTACCTTATCCTTCTCAGACTGTTCTCTCCCTTTCTTTTCTGTGAATCCATACACACCTGATTTTTCTCCTGGCTTTCTATCCTTCCTGCTCAGTCTTCTCTCTTCAGTGCCAGTGCTTTCCAGGATCCTTCCCCTGCTCCGTGATTTGACCATCTCTATGCAAATACCTTCAGCCCGTAGCTCATTCCGGATCATTCAATTGCCTACTGAATGTCTCCACTTAGATGTCTCCCAGATACTACAAATCTAATATGTTCAAACCTGAGCTAATATGGTTCCTCATCCTGAATTTGCTTCTCCACCTCCGTCTCTTAATGACATCATCTTCCATGCAGTTTCCCACGCTAGAAACCTGAGAGTCAACTATTATTCCACCCTCTCCTTCACCACCCACTACCAGGCAATCACTTCTCAAATCTGCCCAATTCTTTCCAGTCCCATGATCATTGTCTTTATTGAGACCACCTCACCACTCATCTGTTTATTCCTGCAATGGTTTCCCTATAGGGGCTTCTGCTGCCAGTCCATGCTCTGTATCCCCATTCATTCTCTATATTGCAATAGAAAAATGTTCATGTCATTGTTTGGTTAATATCCATCATTTGCTTCCAGTTGTCCTAGGATAAAATATAAAAGCTGTCTTCTCTACCTGGAAAGACCACTGGCTTAACCCCCATTTGCAGTTCAGGACTCAACCTGGAAGACATTTTCTGGAAACCCTCTCTGACCTTCAGAGATCACAGTATCCCCACACCCCCAATCACACCAAGTGTTCTTGCCATTTTTGTTTCTTTTTCCTCTTTATTCAGAACACCTTATGGGGAAGGGCTGGGTGTCATTTATCTGGGTATACTCAGCACAGTGTGCAACATAAAGGGGGTCAGCTCCTGAGCAGAACTATTTCACTGTGTTCTCTGCTGTATCTTCAGTGCCTAGAACAGGGCATGCTATAAAGTGGTACCCAATGATAATACATAGCATACATGAATAAAAAAAGCACTCAAAATGCTGTTTATATGAGTGAATAAGTGGGTTTCCCCCTCTATTTGGATACCTCTAAGGCTGATTTTCCTAAAAGGAGGCATTCTACCCTACTTTTAATGTCTTACTTCATCTATGAGGGAGGAATTTCACCTAGGCACCCTGGATTTCAGATCCTGGTCTCCCTGAAGCATGCTGGGAAATGTTCAAAATTCCAAGCTGTGGAGCACAGTACCAAGAGTACAAGGCACAGCAACAGATCATTCCCAACAGAAGATTTAAAGCAGCTTGAAGCAAGTTACTTACCTTACAGTTCAGGGAACTTGACAATGTTTCTGAGATAAATTACCGTGGGTTCAAGGGGAAAGTTGAGGTTGCATTTTTCATGGTCTGTTTTCACACATTGCTATGCCTCCAATCTATAATATCTGAAATAAATTTACTCCAATCTACGTCTTTATTCTGTGCTCAGCATAGAGTGGAGCTTCTGGGGAGAATACTCAAACCAGGGTCAATGGGTTTCATACTTAGAATGAAATAGATATTTTCCATTAAAGGCAAATTCTTTATATCAGGAGCATAAATAGACTTCTACTTAACTTTAATTGATGATAGTTAAAGCAACAGAAAAGTTATACGAAGAATATTCATCAAGATATAGCATTTTCAATTGACTATAATCTTTTGTTCTCTCTCCTCTTTTCTGGATTAGCATTGTAGAAACACTGAACTTGATGTCATATAAAAAATAGGAGTGGTTTTCTGTTCTAATGGTATTAATAATAATATAACTATATTATTTATCATAACTTTTTATTATCCCAAGAAAGATTTTTTCTTTTTATGTACCACAGAATTTAATCCTCAGAACAACTGTATGAAATGAATGAGAACAGAGGCACAGAGGGGTTAAATGACTTGCCCAAGATGACACAGTCCTAAGAGGCAGAAACTGAATTCAAGCCCAAGCAATCTTTCTCTGAACTATGCTTTTAAATAGTTTGCTGTTCTGCCTCTTTGGTGTAGCAGAGAGGTTTTAATATTTGCTACCTAACACCTTCAGCAAGTCACCTTCCTCTAAGTACTTGCTCCCCTACCCTTAAATTTCTTACAGATTTACTATTGTGGGAACTTACATATGCTAATGAATGAACAAATTTTCTTAGGTAGCTAGTATTATATCTTACACATGTTGAGTTACCTTCTCATCTTTTTTTCAGTGGAAGATAACTGGAGCTATTTAAAATCTAGTTCTCTAGGCTTTCTCAGCTATCACTAATTTTTGCTCTTTCTTCATGTGTTTTGCTCCTGCAAAGTCCCTGACACTATTTGAAAAACTGATACTTTGCCATGCCTAGCAGAGTGCCAGGCATGACATCACCAGTAAAATGTGCTTCATAACCCAAAAGGGCACTTCAGGCAGATGCAGAAACCATCTCTTCCCATTGCTGGTGTGGTCTCAAATGCTTCTGTATTTAAAGACAAATAAGGAAATCAGGAGGCCCCTCTGGGGAGGCCAAGGTAGAGAATACCTTCAATTCTAATCCACATCTTTTCTAATGAACTAGAAATTTAGGTCCCTGTATTTTTGCATAAAGGGGAAAGACAAAAAGAGTCTCCATGTCATACTTAATATCATGGGATTCTACATTTATATTTCATCTCAGGTTTCCATTAGAAAAAAATGTATTGAATTCAGCCTTAAGGAAATGCACATTAAAAATATATGATATTCTTTACATATCAAGGAGTTTATGTATAAAAATCCTTTCAGTAAGTATAGAAATTCAGATGAAATCTGTTTCATTATTTTGTTACCTATTATTTTCATTTATTTGGTTATCATCTTCAGAAACACACATTGAGTATCAGGAAAAAAATCAGAATATAGGTAATAGTGCCTTTTCTAAAAATATATACATGTGTATGTATCATTTCAAAGCATTTTATATCAATTATCTCTTTCCTTTGTTACGATGATCCTCCAAAAGATAAAACAAAGAAAATTCCTTCAGATATGTTAAAGTCATGTGAAACAGCACAGGCCAAAGGGGCCTGTCAAGTGAAAAGATTCATTTTGCATTAACCATAATAATTTTGTTAATATCATAATTATGTTGTCTCTGAACAAAAAAAAGATATTGAAGCATATAACAACTAAGAAACTAGCTTAAAGTCAGATAACAAGCTAGTATTAGATTTGAAAAACAAATATTTGTTGAGTACTTGTCACTGTCAAGGGCTTTGATGTTATAGAATATAATTTCCATAACAATCTTTAAAGCTAAGTTATTACTTACTAAATTAAAAGATAAAACTGAGATTTAGATAAAATATAGGTGGAAGAACAAAGATTTTCACCTAACCTACCTGACCTAAGATTCATCCATGGCTTTCCTGCTTATCCAAGGAGATACTTTTCCTTACATGGCTCTGGGTACCAGTGCCCTCACTGTTACTCACACAGCAGGTACACACCCACCCCTGCCAATCCTAAGAAAGATTATCTAAGGGATGTTGTAAACTTGCCCATACTTGGGGAGAAGAGAGAATAATCCTGTTATTATCAGGAAGATAAAATATATAAAGCCTAAATATTATTTGAAAGGTAAGACCTTATTAGCTAGTGAAGATTACTTCAAATTTGTATGACTTCTGGGTGTTCTTGGTAATAAAAAAAATTTAAGTACACAAATCTAAATTAAGACAAACATAAAATGAGAAACAGTACCCATATTGTACTGTGGACTTCTAATACAAGAAAAGGGTGAAAAATGAATCTCAGTGATAAAACTCTGCCAGGAAAGTCTAATCAATGACCTCCATCATTAGCAAGTGTGAAACCTGTATTTCCAAGTTTTAAGTATATGTTGAATTAGGTTAACCCTTAGAGATATTTACCTTTCTCAAGCCTCTCTTCAGCTTTTTAAATGAAATGTGTAGTTTGACTTAGGAATGCCAAAAGGAATTTTTATACCAAATTAAATAAAAGTAGATGCTGCTGGTACATCTAGAACAAAATTGAAAATATCAAGGAACAATGATATATATATATATATATATTTTTTTTTTAAGTACAACTGTATTTGAAATCTTTCCTGATTACAATATGTCCCCTTACTGCCAGCAGAGCCTACTCTTAAATCTCAGGGGTTGTTAACTATGCATTCTTTGGTGCTGACCAGAAAGAATCTTTCTGCAAATGTTGAATTTTCAGAGGGACTATTATAGCTTGTAGGACTTCTGCATTAGTACAGGCAAAGAAACTTAAGCCTTGTGAGTAACAAAGTGGTCCCCAGTGCATTGACTTTCTATCAAATGTTAGCCAACTTGCAGGTCTGAACTATCTGTACTAGGGGCAGGGAGATCCGTCTGGAAGGATGAAGGGGAGACCTTTAATCATCTGAAAGTGTAGCATGATCAGAATGGAGTCCTGGCTCCCGGTCAACACTCCATCACCTTTTGCTCAGTCCTAGCTTAGGGCTTACTCTTGCCACATAAATATTCATTGTGTAGACTCCCTTGGCTCCCTTTAAAATAGCAACCAAGAACACAGTCATCTGCTTCCATTTGTTCCTGTTCTTAAGAAAGGTTAAAAGTAAATTGAAAAGAGTTCCATCAGAGGAGAGACACTGAGAACTTCTTACCCAAAATAGATGCCAGATCAGAATTAAAATAGACAGGCATCAGATCGAGTGGACTTATTTGGCAGAAGATTGCATCCTGAGTTCTAGAACCACCTATGAGTATTTCATTCTTTTGGTTTGCTTCGAGTCAAACAATGTCAGGAGTTGAGGGAAAAGTCAACGTGTAGGGAAAGACTGAGATTCTTCTGCTGCCTTCCTGCGTTAGGTAGAAAAGTTTTTCATTGAAGTGCCATTCATTTTATACCCCAATATAGTTTTTTAAAAGACTATGTATAGGGGAAATTTATAGAGATATGGAAAATCAGACTGCGATGTTTTCCTATACTATTAAGTTATCCCCATAAGACATCATTGCCAGTTGATATCCAAGCTTTAAAAACAAATCATTTGTGTATCTTAGGAGTATCACTGGGAGAAGAAGAGGGGGACACTTGGCTCTTTTGTCATTGAAGGAAAAAGGTATTCCTCTAATAGCAGATCATCTTCTTCTTTTTAAAATATTTTTTCAAAAAAGAATCTGGAGAATATAAGAAAGGCAGCACTCCCAAAGGTGGCTGTTAAATGATCTTGCCATCCTTACCACTCAGTGTCTTACAGCACGAATATGTAATTGGAACTGTCTTCTGGGTGTGGTCAGGCAGACAATGGCGGCAGCAGATATAAAATTAAGAAAAATGCCTGGTGAAAGTGAAATGAGGCAGGATGCTTATGGTAAGGTGGGAGAAAAGGGGGCTGTTGTATATCTTTCTACTCAATCAG